GTGAGAACACAAGGCTCTTAGCGGATCAATCTCTTCTACATCAGAGGAGTTGACTGACCTGCATGGATCTATCAAGTAAAACTCTTGACAATGTGTCTAAAATTCTTATTTCCCCTTATATGTTTCATCTGTATCTGTACAGACATCCTTAGGGTGTACACGTAACAGGTTTTCCTAAAACGTGAAGCAAAGACATAATGGGCTCTGAAGAGTATTTATTAAAATATTGTTGCGTATCGGGCGTATATCGCGACAAATAAGTTCACGCCGTATTTTATATAGCGAATTTTATTTCACATTCACACTTACAATCACCCAAATTACAGATTTACGATTACTGCTATCTGCAGTATCACAATTAGTACACTCCAAATGCCACAATACAACTGACTGGCTGACTGACTCTGAATACAACTTGGCAACTGTTACAGTACAACTGACTGTGAATAGCCTTCGCTGCTCCCTATGTAGCCTCGATCGGACAATACGGCCACGTAATAGGCACCCTTGTTGCTAGCCACGCTGTCCGGAGTTGTTGACGGCTGCCTAGTAACCGCGATATCCCTCGGTGACGTCACCGCGTTGACTTGCGTTGCCTAGCGACCAGGATGCTAGGACTCGGCTAACATCGGCTCACTTCGGCTTCGCTCGGCGCATCACGGCTGGCNGCGGGGGGGGGGGGGGGGGGGGGGGGGGAGGGGCGTCATTCAGAGCTCAACATGTCACAATATATTACAAATATCCCACCCAGAAGGATCCAAATAGCCTCACACACATCAGAATGTTTATACTTGCTTCAGTGTATATCATTTTTGGATACAATGAATGTAAAATATCTTGCAACAGTGTAAGTCCTAAACTGTCAAACATTCTATGGATTACATTACAATTCAACTAAGTGATTCATATTGCTTTCACTACGCTGCAACACATCTGTCTTTACCACAGCCAAGTTATGGCAGTCATATTTCCACAAACTTGTATTACAGAATTCTACATCAATACGATGCCTAAACGGTTCACTATGGCTTCTCAGATTATTGAGGAATTAGCTGCCAAGAGATTTCTAACTGTACCAATTAGAAAAATACCTTAACATCTCCCCACCAACTCCCAAAGCTGCAGCAGTTCCTATCCAATTTATACTTATAATTACCTCTGCAATCAGACAGCAACTTACGTATCTTACATAGACGTTCTGAGTACCTTGTTTGATTTGATGTTTTCATGGCAATGTCTATAAGGAGTTCAGGGTCCTGCGTTGTAGCAACGTGTAGTTTGGAGATGGCCCAATGTTTAGGATGAATATGTCACCTCCACAACGCAGGGCTCTCTCCGAACTACACTTTGCTACAACTCAGAATGCTGTACTCTTCATTCCAAGTACCGGCCATAGCCTCCTCACTATCACCATGCAATTCAGAAGTATCGACAAACGCAGAACACGCAACTCTCAGTTCTCAATTCCTACACCTGACTCCCATGTCAAACCAAAACCAACTGTTATCTACTCGTGACTGTGTATTCCTGTATTCCCTGTATGTGCAATTACAATGTATGTTCTATAAGCAAACGAGTCTTCAGCTAAGATCTTCCATAGGAATATGGCTGTAACCACGAAGATTTCAGTCTTCTGGGATGTGACACCATGTAGTCTGGTAGAATGTTACCAACATTTCTGAGGAATGTGAGGCCTCCATCTTCAGGGTCTTTTCATTTTACATGTTTCTCCAAAGTGGTGGTAACATTCTACCAGTCTACATGGCCTCACATCTATGAAGACAACAGTTTTTCAAGTTACCAGGTGTTTAGAAAAGCCGACTGTCAATTAATCCAAATTGTCACTTGCTGATACTGTATGCAGATATGAGAGCCACAGTTTACAGGATGATTTTTGGGAAAGAGATATCATTGGCTGTACTTTATTCGATAGAAACTAGCAAAAGAGAGGTAAGCTGCAAGCATACACAGTCCATTTTACACATACACAAAAACTTTACCAAACGTGTATAACTTCTAACACTTCTGTAAGACATACATGAAAGTGATTTAGACCAACCAAAGTGAAAGCTGATATAATGCTTTAGACAGGTTTCATTATGGAACTCCCATATCACACTCCATCAAAATGCGTGTTGCCTGCGAGAACTGCAACATACAACAATGGGAATATAGACACAGTTCCGTCACAGAAAATGCTAAATTTTCTGAGCTATGAATATCAGCTTTGTCATGCTATCATTACATGCACCAGCAGTATTAATGGCCTGGGTGTTTTCTTTGATTCAAAGCTACATTTTCACACACATGTTAATTACATATTTTCTGAATGCATAATGCTGTTAGGCCTTATTCGCTCCATTACCTACAGATTTTCCTCCCTCGAGTGTCTATATGTACTATACTTTACTTTAGTCAGGTCCAAATTGGAATATGCCTCGGTAGTTTGGAACTCCATCACCTCAACTGATGCCAGTAAGCTTGAGCACATCCAGCAAAAGTTTGCGTCCACCTGTTTTTATTGTTTTTTCCCTCATATTCCATACACTTATACTGATGCTTTAGAAAAATTAAGTCTACATTCTTTACATAAATGGAGACATCACCTAACATCAAATGTTAGCCTTCGTGTTCCTCCCAGCAATCTTACGGACTTCTGATTGTTTGGTGTTTGTCCCTCTAATAAACACTGTCCTGCTGCTCGGTGTGCCTATGGTGCCAATGCGGTGGGTAAAGATCTCGACATATTTGCAATTGGAACAGTTTCTGTAAATGACACTGAACCTAAAATTGTTAAGACTATTTGTTAATGATACTCTTAATATTATGTGTGTGCATATGGTCTTATTTTATTGTTCTCTCCTGTTAATGTTAACTTTAATTTTTCTTGGCATTATTATTAATCTATTGTCATTATGTAGATTCTCAAATTTTTATTTGCTTTTTTAATTATTTTTATGTAATTCTATGTACTCATGCTTTTTAATTGGCCTCTGTGCTGTTAAGTTGTATGTAAATAAATATGAATTGAATTGAATTAGGATGTTGAGCTCCCACACGAATAAATAAGAATTGGGTTATTATTATTATTAACTTTATGTGTGTATGTATGTATGTGTCCTTTCTCACCACATAATGGAATAACAATTCGAAATGTACTTATTTTATTTTCTCTCCTGTTAATGTTAACTTTAATTTTTCTTGGAATTATTATTAATTTAATGCCATTATATAGACCGTCTTATTTTGTCTTTTAGTTATATCTGTATTTCTATGTACTCCTGCCAACTTTGTTATTGGCCTCTGTGCTCTTAAGTCTGCATGTAAATAAACACGAACTGAATTGAATTACACAAGATGGCATAACCATTAGAAATTTACATATTCAATTTTTTTTCTCCTGTCAATGCTAACTTATAGTTTTTCTTGTAATTATTATTAATTTATTGCCCTTGTATAGAGTGTCATATTTTGTTCTTTAATTATTTTTGTGTATTTCTAGGTGCTCATGCTAACTTTGTAATTGGCCTCTGTGCTGTTAAGTCTGCACGTAAAAACACATGAACTGAATTGAATTATTAATTACATTAATATGTCTTTGCTCCAGTGCTTACATTTAATTAGTCTTTGACTTTATGTTATGTTTGTCCATATGCAATTACTTTTATCTATACTGTACAGTGTCTGTAATTGGCCTCTAACAGAAATGAGTACCATCAATCTTCGTGGGGGTGGCGGGTAAAGGGTGGCCGGCACGTAAGGCTGACAACCTTCCCGCCACTTGTGAGCTGATTGCCTAGAGAAAATGTGGGAGCCTCAACGTCTGACAACACTAGGGGCCTCAATGGGCTGTTATAGGGACAGCTTTACCTCTCAAGTTCTTTCCTTTACAAGGAAAAACAGAACTACTATGGTTTAGTGATTACTTCCTTACAGTATCCACCAGATTTGATTATACAAACAATTTTACACAGAACCAGATTTTAATCTTTCACAATGGTGAAAAATCTTATTCTGGTCTCCTAAGTTATGACACTGTGTTGCCTGGCAGGTGGTTACCAGAGAACATACTGCCCCTGGCTTCAACAGACCAGCAGAAAACTTTGCTAACCATGTCATAAGCCAGAAGACCATGAATGTCTTTTACATAAAAACTTATATCAGTCATAATGTTACATTGCAGCATCCTGTTGCTTACATCTAACTTTGCGTTTTGCTTTGATGTCGACTGCGTGAAAGATCAGTTAACATTCTCTCACAGTTTTCTCTTTGTCGTCACCACATGTTTCAGCCTAACCGACCATCTTCAGGTGTACAGGTTGTTGTGATCAAGGAACCTCCTGCTCACTGTAATGCTGTTCTGTTTGTTATGTAGAGGCTTCGGATCGCATCTGGTTATGTGGGTTAACCATCTGTTTTTTGTTTAGGTGTCCTTGAGCTGAGCATATTTGTTGTGCTGTGGTTGGCTATCAGCACAACAAATTCCTGCCCCAGCAAGAACATTCAAGACAGCCACAGCCAAACAAAACCATGAAGCAAACACCAGCAGCTCATGGACACCTAAATAAAAAAAACAGAAGACTAACCCACATAACCAGATGCAATCTGAGGCCTACACATAACAGCAACAAAACACCATTACAACGAGCAGCAGATTCTGCAATCACAACAACCTGTACACCTGAAGATGGCTGGTTGGGCCAAAACATGTAGTGTCAATAAAGAAAATCAAGTGAATAGTTACTGATGTTGCACATTCACGGCATCACAGCAAGACACAAAGTCGGATGATATCATGCATATGCGTTACCCTCCTGCACGCAAACACAGTAAAGCAGAGAGGCAGTTTGTTGGACAAACAAATATCAGTCTGACATGGTCACACACATCAAACTGACATTTCTTCCTATAATACTGTAATAGTATCTTCGTGTCATGTTTTGGTCTTGACTTGCACACATTTTCACTTCAGTCCTGAAATGCCCTGATTTTCACTTCAGTCCTGACACGCACAGATTTTCACTTCAGTCTTGACATGCACAGATTCTGGTGGCATAGCAGCAAGAGAAAAGGCTATCTGCAAGAGCCATACATGGATGACAATACAGCAACAACTCCTTCCTCTTATGGCAGACAAGTCACTTGAGGTCTCGTGCTGGTGAGTTGCAGGCCTGAAACAATTACATGAATAGCATTAAAAAACAGATTCTGATTTGCATGCGAATCTGTATGTACGGTTTCAAACTTGATCCACTTTTAATTTCAACAAAATGTAAAACTTCTATATGGCTTGCAATGACACAAAAAATTTATGGTTACATAACATTCCTGCATGATAGTACTTGGCACTCCCCCACACATACACACACACAAACACGTTTGCTGGTACTCTCAGGTTCAGTTTTTGCCTCAAGATTGAAAAATACAGTGCAATGGTAAATGTGTGAGACTTCTGACAAGCCTGTCAATACAGATCAAGTATTTGCTGGTATACATTCTGGCCTAAAGAAAAGGTACTAATAATACCCATACACTAAGTAAACTTTGTTCAAAGATATCTCCATATTAGAACACTGTAAAAATATATGTAAGTAAATACTTCAGCTCCTTAAAAATGGGAAACTAATTTCCATTCCCTTACAAATGCAAGCCATGCAATACTGCACTACTTATATATAAAAAATTTCATGGAAGAACTTATGCTTATTTTCCATTTCCAAACTCCTGTCCAACCAAAATTCCCAGTCAACAATTATATAATTCTGTCCTCTACATTTCAGCTACTACAGGCAAAATACCATGATATCCATAGCCACATTTGTAATTTTCACTGTTTCACAAACTCTGATGTCAGTACAGCTTTTTAAAATGCAATTATCTAGATTAGATTATTAGCGGGAACCAAATATTGGTTCTAGAAGAACCGGAAACAAAATGGAACAAGAATAATCAAGCACAATAACAAATGTCAAGGACAATCAGCTCATAAAATGAAAATGTTGATCTTCCCCCAAACTTGAGTTATGTATCAGTTCCATCATTACAAAAACAGTGTTAACATTCTGCTCAATAATTAATAAAATACGGCTACAAACCACTCAAAAGACTATGCAAGGCATGGAGAATTGATGGGAGTCAACACAAACATTCACACTGCAAAATTATTTGCAAAGAAAATAATTGAAACAGTGAAGCTTCATTACTTACAGTTCACTATGACCAAGCTCATACTTACCAATACAGAAAAATGTTTGACACAAAATTTGTGTCTACTTTTAATCTCTCCTACAACGTCACATTTCATGAGCCAAATACAAACTAATCTATATTGCAAAGTGCTGTTTCGTAAGTACCTGTAATAATATTAATCTTTTCTTCTAACAAATAAGGAATCTTATATTTTAGCGTCCTGTTGCACTGATTTAAGTCCATGATTTATTTAAACCGTCTTGCAGTGCATACACTCATCTATCNCCCATTCTCCTCTCTTGGAGCACTCCTTCACTATCATGTGTGTGTTGTGCTTTTGTTGTGTCTTGCTCCTGTGACTGCGTGTGTTATACTGTTGGGCCTGCTGGGTATGTGTGTGTGACACACAGTATAACACACGCAGTCACAGGAGCAAGACACAACAAAAGCACAACACACACATGATAGTGAAGGAATGCTCCAACAGAGGAGGATGGGCGTGACTGGCGTAGTGAGATGCGACATAGAGATGAGGAATCCGGAACAATTTTAATATTTTTAACGTTTGACATTTGTCAATGTATATGATAGATATATATTTTAGTTATTTTAATGTGAGGACAAGGCATGCAATGAACTAGTTTGGCGTGGATTGAGTAAGCACCTGAAGATGGCATTTTTATGCCGAAACATGTAGTGCGAGTGAGAGAAGGAGATAGATGAGTGTATGCACTGCAAGACGGTTTAAATAAATCATGGAAATAAGGAATCATATAAACCTGCATAACATTTCTAAGAAGTCCTTCGTTCTCTCTCCAATATGATCCCATAATGGCATACTTCAAATTCTCAATTTCTAACATGAATATTAGGAGTAATCATTATTTTGCACATAAAATCAGCACCTATAACTTTGTCATCACATGACCTATCTGGTTCATTCCACAGCATACTAACTGTAGGTCTGTTAATTCTTTCGGTCACAGTGACGGGTTTACATTTACGTTTACAACCACCTCAGAGCTAAAGCACAGGCACAACCATAACCCTACTGCAGAATAAATGATACAAACTCCGTCCCAAGTGCAAACAATATATATTATATGTCTTTGATCTTGTTCTCTTCTACACTACATGTTTCTCCCTCTAACGACCATCATCAGGTGTATACTCTTACGTTGCTGCCACACTGAACCCAGTCTAAAATTTAACATTTAAAAAACACATTGTTATTTTCTTCGTTATTATCAACATCTACCTCGCTGATATCTGTCTGGTATGTAGATTATTTTGCACACGTCAATTTTGATTTTCCTGTAGTAGCACTATAAAATCTTTAGTTATAATTTTAAAATCCTTTAAAATTTTCTCTAAATTTTAAATTTAAAATTTAAAATTGTTAGGGTTACTCGCCCTATGTCTAAAGTGCTGCAGCGGCTAGTTCTCGTTTCCACACTGTACAGGTGTTATNTGTATCGTTTGAAATGTGGGATTGTGTGTTTCTATGTGTGTATCATTCATGTGTAGGCCTTTCTTACTTATTTTATATATATAGTATTTCTCTAATGTATTCAAATGTCTGCCCTTCTTTCCCGTTGTTACAACTTCCATTACCTCTGTTATTGTTCCGTATACATGTCCTCTATTTAGTATGTGATTTGAGTACCTGGAATTGCTATCATTATTTCTAATATCATATATATGTTCTTTATATCTAGTGTTAAATGTTTTGCCTGTTTGCCCAATGTATTTCAANATGTATTTCAAAGGGCAATCCACACATTTCATTTGGTATATGCCACTTTTATTGTATTTGTCTAATTGTGGTTTTTGTTTGAGTATGTTTTCTATTGTGTTTCGTGTGCGGAATGCTACTTTTATCTGTGTGTCTTTGAAAAGTTTTGTAACTTTTCTCACTTCTTTTGTACTATATGTAAATGTGGCCCACTTTGTTTTATGTTGTTGTTCGTCGTCATGTGTGTTTGATTTTTGTTTTCGTGTTGTCTGATTTAATCTTTTGGTTATGTTTGTGCCGTATCCGTTGTTATGTAGTATGTTTTTAATAGTGTTCTTCTCTATTTGTTTTCCTTTTTCTGTTATTGGGTATGTGTAGAGTCTATTTATGAGGTAATTAATATCTGACAATTTGTGCTCGAATGGATGGCACGAACTGTTAGGTATTATGATGTCTGTTTGTGTGGGTTTCCTATATACTGCGAATTGCAACCTATCTTCATTGCGAATAACCCTAACAATTTTAAATTTAAAATTTAGAGAAAATTTTAAAGGATTTTAAAATTATAACTAAAGATTTTATAGTGCTACTACAGGAAAATCAAAACTGACTTGTGCAAAATAATCTACATACCAGACAGATATCAACGAGGTAGATGTTGATAATAACGAAGAAAATAACAATGTGTTTTTTAAATGTTAAATTTTAGACTGGGTTCAGTGTGGCAGCAACGTAAGAGTATACACCTGATGATGGCCGTTAGAGGCCGAAACATGTAGTGTAGAAGAGAACAAGATCAAAGTCATATAATATATATTGTTTGCACTTGGGACGGAGTTTGTATCATTTATCGTGTAGAGTGCAACAGGATGCTTAAATATAATATTGTAAACTACTGCAGAACTGTAGCTGCACCTCTAATAAGAGTCTATATGATTAAAATTTATATATTCACCAAGATATACGTCGAACAATATTTGTCAAGTACACTCTTCTCCTACTTACTGAACAAAAATTATATTAATCATCACAGCATACACGTAAAGCTTTTACATTACAAACATATCACACATGTAACGTCGCACTACCTCAACGTATGTATATATGGCCGAATATTAGTAATTAATTAAAATCCTGCAGCCTTAACTGAATTTGACTTAATATAAACCCCTCTAAACGCTCTAAGCTCTCAAACGCCCTAGAAGCCCTCGCGTCCTCGAAACCCACGAACCGAATACTATGGTACAACTGTCATGGGTCATGGGGAAGGGGGAAACAATGGATCTCCTGCCATCTCTACGCTGAAGGACCTAACTAGATAGTCAGAACCAATCACAATTCAACTATTGCAATATATCGACTCGCTTAAGTGTGACCCAATCCCAATCGATCCTTATGATCCTTATACACCTTTTGCAATATATCGACGTTAGTGGTGACGGTTGGAGTCGCTGGAGTCGGGTTCGGTCGGGGCCGTCGGGGCCGTCGGGGCGTTGGCTGAAAAATGGTTTGTAGTTATCACAAACTGAATTTGGTCAGTTTCGCGGTTGATTGGTAAGTATGGGATTTGATTTGATGTAGTGAATCAAGAGTTGATGTTTACTCTTTAAGTTACATCGCCGTGTTATTTATTTTTATGCAATTAAGTTAGAAATATATATGAAGTGGAATATTCCTGTTAAGATATTTCTGTAGGTTATGCATCTTTCGATGTAGCTTAAAGAAGGTCTGTAGAATCTCGAAACTCATCGTGTGCTGTGATTGTGTTACAATATCTGTATTGTTTCTTGCAGGATGAATGGCGGGGGGGGGGGNTGTTACAATTTGTGTTTTTTTTGTGGGGAGAGAAGGGGGGGGGGGGGGATTGCGCAACCCCGGGGTGCTCGTCATCCAGTAGGCAAACAGGTTTGAAACTCTTAAACTTTCCCAGAGATTCAGCACGGTAAGTCTGTTTTAATGCATAATGTAATGTCTTTATTATGTGTTACTTAATCAAACGAAGACATTAAGTTTAGCTAGTGTCTATTAAATGTATTAAACGTTACCCCTCAATGTAGCACCAGCACCATGTTTGTAATACTTATAGATGAATTATTTCACNCCACACTGAATCCTGATATTGATCCTGCTGAAGCAGATAACCAGTGCTCTATACTGGGACTCTTATCGCTTAGTGGGCAACACAGTGCTTTCCAGGGTCAACAGGCATTTCAACATATAAAACTCTCAAAGAGTTTGTCAACCTTCTCAATAAATGCATCTGTTGCCAGGTATTCACTGCAGCATCCTCCTGAATGAACAAAAGAAAAATGCGAAATTAGTGTGCTTCCTTACATGCTAGATTACCATAACTCTTCATAATGTTATATTTTAGTGTCCTTTTGCACTGATTTATGTCCATGATTTATTCTGACCGTCTTACAGTGCATACATTTATTCACCTTACTCTTCTCTCTTGCACTACATGTTTCAGCACAAAAGTGCCATCTTCAGGTGTCACACACATACCCAGCAGGCCCAGCAGTATAACACACGCAGTCACAGGAGCAAGACACAACACAAAACACAATACACACACGAAAGCAGGAAGAATACTCCGATAGAAGAAGATAGGCGTGACTCGCGTATTGAGATACAACATAAGGATGACAAATCCTGAACAGTTTTAATATTTTTAATATTTAAAATTTTATCAATATATATGATGAATATATATTTTAGTATAAAGACAACAGGGCATGCAATGAAGTAGTTTGACGCACATCGAAAAGCACCTGAAGATGGCACTTTTGTGCTGAAACATGTAGTGCAAGAGAGAAGAGTAAGGTGAATAAATGTATGCACTGTAAGACGGTCAGAATAAATCATGGACATAAATCAGTGCAAAAGGACACTAAAATATAACATTATGAAGAGTTATGGTAATCTAGCATGTAAGGAAGCACACTAATTTCGCATTTTTCTTTTGTTCATTCAGGAGGATGCTGCAGTGAATACCTGGCAACAGATGCATTTATTGAGAAGGTTGACAAACTCTTTGAGAGTTTTATATGTTGAAATGCCTGTTGACCCTGGAAAGCACTGTGTTGCCCACTAAGCGATAAGAGTCCCAGTATAGAGCACTGGTTATCTGCTTCAGCAGGATCAATATCAGGATTCAGTGTGGGTAGGACATTTTGTGCAATTTATTTACATATTCTGTTTTATTATTATGGGTGCATTCCTTATAATAATTTATTTAACTATTTTAATATTTTTGTTATTCTGTTTTATTATTATTGTGGGTGTATTCCGTGTCATAGTTTATTTACCTGTTTTATTATTTTTGTTATATTATTATTATGGGTGTATTTCTTCTTATTTTTCTCCATATTACTCTGTCCAGTACTGAATTGGTGAACATGAATACAAGATTTTGAATAATCATTGCATTTCCATAAGACATGTTATTAATTTTGCCACATGTTCTTGTCCATTGCTGCAATGGAAGATGAATATCAGATTTCCAGTATTCTGTAAGATATTATAAAAGGTTAATTAATTCCATCCAGTGTGACTTATATCACTGATGTCCAGTCACACTGGACAGAAATAATTAACCTTTTATAATACTGTGTGGGAATGTCGATGTTCTAAACGACAACCACATTATAACAGTTGTATATATTAAATCGTATAAATTGAATTTACAGAATAGCTGTGAAGCTATGTAGAATGTTCAAAAGTTGGCTGGCCCTCAAAGGGCAGTTTGTTCCACTGAGAGTGTGCTGGCAGAATTCGCTCCTTCGGCTGTTCATCTGGCCTGTCTGGCCAGTGATGTAGTACCGCATGCACCGGTAGAAACAGCTGCCTCGGTCAGTTGCTGGAGTTGCAGCAGCTGCGTTAGTTGCGTGGTTGCAGGGCATGGCCACAGGAGAGCTGCATCAGTTACGTTAACTGTCTGGTACCCATAAAGAGCTGAAGACTGTGATGGCTGATTGCTCTGAACTGAGTGTGATCACTGACTATTGCGAGTTCCCACAGTTGTTAGTCTGTCAGACCAGGATGAAACAAATCAAAATTCTGCAAGATATTCTGTTGTTATGTTTGCAATTTATTCTTGTCCAGAACTAAAGTGGAAGATGAATATCAGATTTCTAGCATTCTGTAAGATATGTTGTAATTTTGCCAAATAATGCTGTCCAGTACTGAACATCATTCTAATGAAATTAATAATAAATGGATACATCAGTATTACTGCTTGCTATATATATGATTTATAATGCTTTAATGTAACCAAGAAACTATGTTCCGTGTGGCTTTCAAGTGTAAGTTTTTACCAAAGGTGTGAGGTTAAATCAAGTTCCCCACCTTCAGCTTTCCTAAACAAAGGTATTCTGTGTATGTTATAGTAGTTCACAATGTGCAATGCATTTGGGTAAGGAGATGTTGGATTGATATGAATGAAATGGACTTTACAGGCACTGGTGAGAAATTTTCTGATTTTGCAACCCTGACCCCTTGTGCTGCAGAGGTTCTTACTCTGGTGTTTTCTTTTTCTTCTTTTTTTTTGAACTGGGTTCAGTATCACTTCACTCATATCCTTTGGAACGAATATGAGTGAACTGATATTGAACCTAGTTCAGAAAAAAAAAACAGAATAAGAACTCTGTAGCACAAGAGATGCGGTTGCAAAATTATTTATTGCTATTCATGTGAACTTAGGTTCCATGGGGTGAAGAGGGGTGAGATGCTACCATTACTGAAGAGTTTCCGGGATCTTCACTTGTTCGACTTGTTACTACGAAAATAGGGAACATAGAGAATATTTGCATGCCTTTGCACATGGTAGTTTGTAGGGCTTATAGCCATACATCTTCATACAAAGATAGGACAGCTCAAGAGGAGGCCATACGCCCTGGCAGAGGAAAACCTGTAGTTCTAAGTAGTGCAAATAAGTCACATAATGCAAGGATGGTTATTTCGTGTAATGAAAGTGGTTAGACAAAACACCAGTGGCATACAGTGGTAGGCTATTTTCAAGTGAAGAAATGTTGCTCGAGTACTGCGTTTCAGAAAATATGTATAGAGTAACAAATGGAAGACATAATTTTAGGTCTTCTTTCGAGTGTTCTAAATGGCTTTGTGCAGTGTTAATTATTGTACGTAATAGTGTAGAATGATTTGAAAATTCCATAGAGTAGGTTTGGCATCCAAATTAGTATTGGTATGCACAATCTGTGGTGCCTGTCACACATTTTCCATATTAGGCCTTTAAGAATCTGTATGAGCATTACCACTATTTCCAACATGAACTGCATTCCAGTGCCAAGAGTGAGGCAGCAGTAAAACATTTGTGGCTATTATATTAATACAACTGTAGGCTTTCCAGGTATTATCCATCACCCATGATATATATACAGTGTCCGTCTTGCAGTGCATCATGGACGAAAATCAGTGCAACAGGACGCTAAAATGCAACATTATCCATCACTTTTTTTTTATTTAAAAACATTTCAGAGACTATTCTGTCACCATCCTCAGGCAAAAGCCTACTGTTGGCCACACCTTGAACCTTTTGGCATTTCAGATTGGACGCTTGGCTCCATTTTGAGGTCAAAGCCAGATATAGGGACCGGCTTAATTGTTTGGGGTAAACTGAGTGGGAGAGAAACTATGGTCTCCAAAACATTTTTCATTCATTCATCAGTAGTCTGTCAGACGACAGGTCCACAATCTCTTCCAAAACAGTTCCTCCACTTAATGCGATCTTCTGTTTTTGGAAAGAGACTATCCAGGAAAAGTGATAATGTGGTAGTTTTTCCATTTGCTTTCCACATCGCAGTACAACAGCCGTTCAAACCACTCTGGTCACGCCTGTTGCTATACGAACTTGAACCATCTCGAGCATCATTTGTTCTGTGCTACTGGCAGGGCCTCCCTTGCTGGACAGGTCAAAGGTTGGGCATCAGACGAAGAGAGATACCAAAAACCAAAACATTTTTAAACAAAAATAATTGTAGTGTGTGCTATCATGAACTTACCAAAACTACCTTCCTAATTCTACATTTCTAATAATTCTGTGAACAAAGCATTAAATTATCCAAGGAATGCATCCTGTTGTTATTCTATAAATTTACCTTTAAAATTGTTCCTGTCTCAAGACAACCATCAAAAACTCACTCTGACTTCGCTGTGTTGCATAACGATCCCCAATAATTTCATCTATATATGGACTTAACCCTGAGAGAAGAATATTGGATAAAATTTTGTATGTAGTTGATAGCAGTGATATCCCCCTTCTTGTGAACTGGTACAATAATAGACTCCTTCCGCTGATCAGGCAATTTTTCCTAATGCCAAATAGAAGTAATTAGATTGTGGATCTTAGAATTAATATTTTGCCTCCTGCTTGAATAAGTTGTCAGAATTTGATCACTACCTGGCGATTTATACCGTTTCAATTTTGCAATAGCACTTTCAACCTCAAAAGGGCTAGGATCAGATATTAACGGCACAGCTGTATGGATTTCTGTTTGCCTAACATCACTGACCCTATGTGCATTCAATAACTGAGAGAAGTAGTTCCTCCACCTATTCAAAATGTTGTGGGAATCTGCAAGCAGATCACCATTCTCATCCTTCACTAAGTTATTGCTAGGCTGGTAACCCCTCTTAAAGTAATTTATTCCTATATACAGGTCTCTAATGTTCTTGTTCCTACTGTTCATTGCAAGCTCATCAATTTTGTCTTTCAGATATTCCCTCTTTTTGTTCCTGAAATGCCTGCTGGTTTCATGTCTTATATTGTTCACATTATCCCCATTTAACTTGCTTGGATCCTGTAACCATTGCAATTTGGTCTGCTTTCTTTGATCCAATAATTTTGAACATCCTTCTTCGAACCATGGCTTATGCTTCTTCGGTTCATAATAACCTAGCCTCTCTTTGGCAGACATTTTTATATTCTCTCTAATAGTTTCCCAAGCTTTATTAACATCCACCTCAGTTTCCAAGTTTTTCAAAGCCGCGAACCTATTTGAGATTTCAACACAATACTACTCTTTACCCTCTACCTCATTTAATTTCTTGAGATTGAACCTCTCCATATGAACTCTGTGTTGTTTGCTCACTGCCAGTCTTTCCCTAACCTTTGCCACCACCAGGCAGTGATCAGTACCACAACCTCCTGCCCTCAATGATCGGACATCAAGTATAATTGAGTGCCATCTCCTTTCTATCAAAATATGGTCTCGGACATCAAGTATAATTGAGTGCCATCTCCTTTCTATCAAAATATGGTCTATTTGATTGTGTATCTTCCAATCAGGAGATGTCCAAGTAAATTTATGGATATTACGATGTGGGAACATTGTACTTTTGACAGTAAGATTTTTTGATGTGGCAAAGTTTACTACTCTAACTCCATTATCATTACTAATTTCATGCAAACTCTCATTCCCAATCTTTGGTTTGAAAATGTCTTCCCTCCCTACTTTGGCATTTAAATCTCCTAACAAAATTTTCATGGGTACTTTAGGAATTTATCAAATACATGTTCTAGTTCTTTATAGAAAATATCCTTTATGTCATCAATTTTATCTTCTGTTGGGGTGTGAATATTCATAACAATGATATCACACCAGTGACCTTTTAGTATTATATATATATATATACCCTTTTGACTGCTGATATGATTCTCTTATGTATGAAAAAACCTGTACCTAATTCATGATTTTCATTCCCCTCTCCATAGAAAAATGTATAGTCTCCTGCTGGTGCGATGCCACCTCCATCCCATCTGACCTCCTGTACTCCCGCTAAATCTACATTAATTTATTAAATATTTTTCTATCTAAAATGCTGAAAAAATAATCTTTTTGAGGAAAATTGTAACTAATCTGTTTACTTACATATTACTATAAAAAAAGCAGTAGATCCAGAAAATTCATAAATACTTGTGTACCAAATTTCTTGACTATTTCATACTTTTCAGGAAAACATACCTTAATGTGACAGAATCAACACTGTGGGGAGACAGGTCTTACCACCTCCCCTTAATAAGAACTTATAAATGCTAGTGAACAAGAAAGTGCCATATATTGTTTCACTGATTATCCTGACGTCTCTACTTGTACCCAAAAGAAATAATTTTTAATTGGTGTGTTCTTATTAATAGAAATACATTTCAAAATTCAAGTATTGTATTGTAACTCCATTAATATTATACCAATTGGTGAAGCTTAAATACAACCTGGACAACAATTCAAACACTTCAATGTGTATTTCCCATCATTATAGTTTAAATTTTGGTAATTCTAATATCACTTCATATTCTCTTTACATTTACAGAACTCATATTATAAAATAAGTCATTCTCTACGGAAAAGTTAATGTGATAATCAAGAAAATATTCATATAAGCAGTGCTGTATGTAAATACAATCTGAAGGAAATTGATTCAATTCCAAAGTCAACATCTGCTCTCAATTCACACCAATACAGCTCTGAACAAACATGTGTAACAAGAAATTATTAAGTACAATATAGCTCCCTCTTTTTAGAAAGCAATAAATACATTATATAGGCCTCTAAAACTTCTTGTGATATATGTTTACTCCCAATGTATCCTTCAACACTTTTAATTTCCTTGTGTGATGGGAGAAGGCAGACCTTTTGTGTCCAACGGAAACAATAGACAGCAATATCAGTTTCTTTCACAGGTAGAAACCAACTGAAGAAAATGTATGCTGAACTATGCACAGTTTTCAGAACTTATGCTTCATATTCAATAGGTCCTGGGACTGGACCTATGCCCTCACCCCAGTCTTTTTTGGTAAATACTAGGACACTACCTGAATAAAGACTATTATTAGTTCATGCCATGTCCTTCGAACTTTATCATTCATATGAATCCCAACATTCAATGTTATATAATCTAATACTATCCAACAGGAACACAGTGGATTTACTGCTGACATAAATGACTACTGGGCTTTGTGAATGCAAAGGCCAAAACAGGCCACCCTTAAATTATCCAGCTTTGTGTTGGAATATGATGATGGTGGTGGCAGCTTATTTAGTCAAAGAAACACTGTTAAATAAACGAAGACATAATCAAATACAGGTCTTACTTTGCATTTTTTTTCTGTTTAATGCAATTTTGTAACTGCAATATTGTTGTGCACATGTGTACACAGTCACTTATTTGTGGTCAGTCATCTCAGTCTATCTGCAGTTGCAGACCATGTAATATAACTAAAAACATCTGTATTCTTAATTTAGTGCAATCCATAAACTTAAAAGTTAAAATCAACCATCATCGGTGAACATAGATTGACAAAAGGGCTACCAGTGGCATTAAACAAAGGATACCTATTACTCTTCAGGGCAAATTACATGTGATCAAGTGGCATGAATGTAACAAATGCATGGCTAGCATGGCCAATGCCATGGGAATCCAAGAATCAACTTTAAAAGCATAAGGAAACAAGCTGAGAAACTTAATGAATGCTGTGGATGTGCAACAAGAATAACAGCTGATAGGAACACAGATTAGGGAGCCAATTGTGGAGAAACTGGAAAAGATGCAGGCTTAGTGAATTGAGCATCAACACCAATGTGCCACTCCTCTGTCCACCATAATGACTCAGCCTAAAGCAAGAAATCTGAAAACTATTTCTTCTCAGTTTATTAATCAGATTGAATCACCTGATTACATTATGTAGTGTTGAATAACAAGATGATTCTGAATGGTTATATAAAAGGATGTGGGAGAGCACTGCTATATTCTATTTATGGTGGTAACTTCGTATTTGCCTGGGGAACTTACAAAAATCTCAGAATAGCCAGTCTCCCTGCCCAGATTTAATATGTGGATCTCATGCATACAGAGCATACATAGTAACCAATGTATTCCAAATGCAACGTTTGGCCAGCTGTTCCACAAAATAATCTGATGCAGGACTGGCAAAGATGTATGTATACACACGCACACACCCACCTACCCGAAGTAACAGGAAACTAAAGGCAAATAATATGACTGACTTTTCAGACATTGTCCATTGTCCTATTCATAGTGTGGAGATACAGACTAGCTCTACTGATTGGACCCAGCTGAGTAGGCTTTCTACCTGAGGATAGAGTCCAGAAAGTCAATCACTGTAATAATATACCATCATCATGAACTTCTAGACCTTATTTACAGATAATACAGTTCAAGGAGTATCTACAAATATAAAGAGATGGAAGAAGTATGAAAATACAGTTGAAGACAAAAGGCAAGGGATAGACAATTATGCATCTGCATGGTGCAGAGACAATGGAAAGAGGATTCTAAGGCTGGTATAGGTATCAGTCACCTATTCCATTAGGAAATGGAGATAACAGGACAGAAGGATGCTGTTTTCTTTTTCAATAAGTTTTGGAACAAGAATAACGCTACAGTGAAATATATCACACAGTAGGGTCACTTGTTCTATTACTGAACACATCATTCTCTTTATGTGAGCACATAAAAGAGTAAATATCAGTAATGTGGAACATAAGAATTTCCTGACTACATAGTGTAACCCCACATTTTACCATGACTTAATCTAAAATATTTGCCCACAGTTTACATCACTCTTTGATATAAGACAAACACATCAGGAAGTGAAGCCAACATGAGAAGGGAACAGCTGAAACATCAGAAAGTTAGGTCATTCTCCAACAGGCCTCACCACAGAGGAAAATAAATTAATTCAAGTGCTAAGATCAGACATAGCAATTGATGTGAGACTGTTTTCAAGGGTGCTTGGTGGGAGAGAGTTAAGCATGTCATTAAAATAAAAGTAGTTTCTTCTTTTTACTAAAACATTTTCTTGCTTGAAATTTCATCAGAAAAAGTTCTCCTTGCCATGTTGCTAAAGGTAACCTGAAGCTTAATACAGCCCCTGCCCCCAAACAATACTTTTCCAGTCTCTTTCACCCATCTCACATTATGTTACATGCCACCATAACTGTACTGAAGAAGCATCAACAAAATGGTCTCTCACAACCATTTCATTCTGTAATATGTGATACCACATAATTCTGCATACATATCAGATGTTTCTTAAAAAAATAATACAGACACACTAGTCATCAACAACTGACATCAAAAATAACACATCTAATGAAATGGTCATAAACAAACGTACAGAAAAGCCATTTACTATGTATGATACTTGTTAAGGATTGCTAGAAGTTTCATATGATACAATAACAATGCAATGCAGTAAGACAATATGATGCAGCCACTCCTTCACCAACCTGATACCCCATATTAGGAAGATCTCACACAAGGAGGATACATAAGTTGTTAACAACGATTGTGTCATAGCTCTGCACATGCAAGCACACCTGCAACAGAAGTGTCTCATTTCAGCACATGTATATTTCATCAGTAAATCAACAGGAAATAACTCCTGCTACTGTACATATAACACATTCACTGCCAACAAGGCTATCTGTTGCTGAAGTTGGCATCAGTGACAGCTTGGAACATCATTGCCAAGTCATGTCATTTAAACATTCTGTTATAGATGTAACCCGATTTCTAGCAGAGTGCACAGTAAATATCATTAACATTTAAGACTGCAGAATTCAAAGCTGCTGATAGTACAAACTTTGGGGAACTGAGATACATATAGATTTCAACAACTCATAGGAGCATAAACCCTTTTTTTAATAAAATAACAAACTGGCATATAGTAAGAACTGATTTTTGACATTCACATAATAGAGGCTTCTGTCAGTCTTTGTTTTAAGTATGACTTTTGCTTGGACAGCAGCTTTAAATATTTTGGCACTGGGCAGTGAACATGTTCAAGACCATAACTGCATAGACAATGCTGCTTTAAAGCATCCATGATACAAACATAATTGCAGCACTTTCTTATCGTAAAACATAATGGCTACCATGCAACAGCAATCATTTAAACAGAAGTACTCTACTCATGACATTCACACTGATTCACTTCTTTTACTGAGCTGTACATAAAGATTAATGGTTGGATAAAATTCTGATTTTTTGGAAGTTCCTTCTGCGTTCATCATCAGTTGTCCTAAGTATATCAATTCCTGGATGGTGATTACCTTCACTTACCCCTCTGCCTTTTCAAGACATATCAATCTTGGCCACATCTTCCTTTGCCTCCCTTCTAACTCCTCCTCGTCCTCTTGTGTTAGGTTAGCAGCATAGCTCTTGGCCAAATTTTGAAGGCAGCCATACCTTCATTACCTCCTCTTGACTCCTCATCCTCAGTTAGGTTAAGCAACATCAGAATTAGCCCCTTCTTAATCATACCCACACCTTCTTATATTACTACTCAACTCTTCGCTCTCCTCTTCATTTAGGTTAAGGAACATCGATTTTAGCTAACCTTCATTTATTCCCCGCCCTGCTGCTGAAACAAAACCAATCTTGCTCATCCCTTTGAAGTCCCATCTTCATCTCTTTCCAGTGTTTTTGGTCATGTCACAGATTACTTCTCACTGCATCTACTATTTCACTTCATGTGATCCCACTGATGAAACAAAAGTAGGTTCTCTGTATCAGAATGTTATCCAACCATACTGTATGTGGCTTTATGCCTGAGAAGATTTTAATGACCCTCCACTACACAAACTTGATGAGTTCACCAAGACAGAAAATAACAGAATATAAGATGTGTGACATGCCACCAATAACAATACCTACTGTTATTTTTCAAAATTATGACAAAGTAAGTACGAAAGTATACTAAGATTAGCAATGCTCTACAGATTCTTCAGTTTGGGTAGTACTGCTGATTTGCCCTACAGTGGCATTACACTAATGGATAAGTTGTGAATTTTTATATTTCTAACATTATGCTGTTGAGTATTTATATTCTGCTTTAGACACTTTGAATGATAAACTTTTCTGTGTCCATTGCACAGAAATATGCCAACTTGGACATACAAAGCACCAACTAAAATAACATAAAAGTATGAGACAAGAAAGAAACATCACTATTCAGATCAGATGCTTGCAGATTAACCTTCTTTAAAATTCCTTTCATGTCTGGATCTTCTGACAATATCTACTACAAGTTTTATATGAAACATTTCTCTGTAGCTTGAAAATTACAAAGTGATGGTACAAAACTTTGAAATTATATAGTGTAAATTGCAAGTAATGGAAATGAATAAAAGTAAAAATTATGTACAGTGACAGGACAGTAATTTGTGTAATTACTAATTTATAAATTCTGCTCACCTCTGCGTATAAAATTACTATTCAAACAAATATATGTATCCTAAATTCTTCTCAGAAATACTTCTGGAATGGATTTTTCTTTCTTGTCTGTTTCACATACATTCTGCTCTCTTACTGAATAAAACATCAGGAAACCAGCCTGTTACCTGTGACCATGACTTTCTTTCTCCAACCTTCAGCGTCTTGATAATAGGAGAACTGCCCCTTTACAATTACACTGCTGTTGAACTCAATGCACAAAATTTTATGTCCTCAAATACTGAGTGCTCTTATAGTTCAACCAGCCAAAGAATTCACAGAGGCAGTGGGGATAATGTTTGCTAGGAGGGAAGGGTCTATTCCCCTGATCTATCATCCCAGCCTGCATGCTGCGAGTAATCCAGCCAATAAAAGTGGAACAGCAGGGGTGGAGTATGAGAAGCATAAGAAGGGTAGACAGAGTAGGGGGTTGCTCTGTGAGAACTCTTTGCTTGGCTGCACTATAGAGCATAATGATACTGTGTAATAATGAGTGTAATTATTTTTGCAATACTGTATGCATAAAAGAAAAATACTGTTACATTTATAAAATGCAAGGAATTAGAGTAATGAATGGACAAGATAAAGCAAATATAGTACTCTGATTTCTAGTGGAGGTTAGACTTGTTTGCAGGAGACGTAAAACATACATACCCTAAAGCATGCAGTAATGCCAGACTTAATCTTGTGTTTTGTGTACCGCCCCCTAACACAGGGCACCCAATAACAGCCAAACTCTCCAACAGTTGTAATACAGTGACGCTGAATTCAATTATGTGCTGAGGCAGCACTCCCAAATTGAGGGTGCAACAACCCAAGTTTCCAGCAATGATGTAACAGTTATGCTAAACTCAATCATGCACTGTGTCTCATTCTCCCAAATATAGGGCATCCAATAACAATCCAAATCTTTAGCAGCTGTGCCATGTAACAGTGCCAAAATTCAATCATGCACTGTACATAGCACCCCCAAACATAGGGAACACAATAATTTACATTTTTAACAGCTGCTGCATATAAAAATGCTGAGATTCAATCATGCACTGTCTCCAGCATTCCAAATGGAGGGTACCCAGTAACAATCTAAAGCTTCAACAGCTGTTTCATATAACAATGCAGAAATGCAATCATGCACTGTACATAGCACTCCCAACAGAGGACACCCAATAACAATCTAAATCTTCAGTTGCTCTTGCACAGAGCAATGCTGAATGCAGTCACGTGCCATGTGGTATCTGATAACAACCTAAATCTTCTGTAGATGATGCAACATAGTGATGCTAGTTTCAGTCTTGCTTTGTGTGTGGTACTCTCAAACAAAGTACCAAAAAGCCTAAATCTTCAACAGGCCTTAATGTGCACAGCCATAGCACCAATATCATGTCTTGCACCTAGATGTCCTTTCCTCCAGGTCCAGGTACACGTACTCTTGTATCCATTAGCCGATTCCCAAGGCCCAGGTCACCAGAAGCAATTAGACTGTCACTCTGTTGATCAGCATACAACATAAAAGTAAGACACTTCTCTCTTAAATTTTACATCCAGCCATTAACATATTCATACCTTCCCATACATACCAGTGGAATGACTCAACTATTAACGAAACACCCTTTTACCCAGGGAAAAGGGTGATCCACTGGCAGGTAATCCAGTAACAACACAAATAACAGAGTAACTAACCTGTGAGCCATGCATCCTCTATAACTGTGTACAGTCTGGGTAAACTCAATTATGGGTTGCAAAGCATAAGGCTGAAGAGAACTGAGGATGGGGGCAGAGGGTGGTAGTGAGACAATGAAGTGTGTACATGCACACACTCCCCACTCTGTTCAGCTCTTATACTTATTGAAATACTGTGCCTGGATGGCCACATTCTAACTTTCACAGTACCTAGGGCAACTCATAGGTAGTGGACCAAAGAGACACAAATCTCTTAAATTATCAATGTTCATACCAAAATACTTATGAAGTACAATTTTGTGTGAATATGTTGAGGTTATTCTAACAGTAAACTTTTCTCTAATTAAAGCTTTTGTTCTTACACCTTATAGTCCTTTTACCTCTCTGCCCCCTGCCTGCTGAGAAGTGGGCAGGATCAATAGGTTCCAAATTATATGGTAATGGTGATGACTGGAATGGGGTACCTACAGCTTAACAAGGTATCAGAACCACAGCATTTTCCACTTTCACCAAGTTTTAATTTATGGGATGTTAGGAAAGGAGATGGCACAAAGAAAATTCCATGTGACATCTGGCTGGTCTCGAACCTGAGAATCTTTTAATAAGACACATTTTTAAATCACCAATTTCCCTACTTGAAGAAGTATTGCCACTGTGTGAATTAGTGTATCACACTTTGTGTAGTATTCTAATTTATGAACAGAATGTCTGATGGAAAATGCAGGAGGAGGTGGATGATATATCTATATTGAGAGGAAGGAATCAAGGAAATCTGTCAAATGATACATGTATTTAAAAAGATATTCCCAGAAAAATGGACAGAGAAAGTGAAAGCACTTTCATGGCCATTCAAAATATTCAAGTGAATTCCCTAACATAAGTATCATGTCAAGTGCAACTACTAATAGCAATTTACAAAAAACTGATTATTTTTAAATATTAAGTAAATAGAAAAGTAGGTCTGTTGTCAATAAAGCTCCACACTTTAATTTGGGAGGTACCATGCTTGAGTGTCTGTTTAGTTAAAAGATATCCCTTCTTAGGTTCTCTATGATTCTCCATAACATCTCCAGTGAGTGCTGGGATAGCACTTTATAACAGGTCCAACAAGGCTTCTGAAGGTCCTTAAACACCATTTATAATCCATTCTCCCATCCCACATCATGACTACAACTGAAACAGTATCACTAAGTGCCCAACATTCAATTAAGGAGGCAATAGAAGTGCCTGCATACAGTTGAAATGTTGTGCTGAAAACTTCCTGCAATTAAATTCAAAGCCTAAGCTACAACCTTGTTAGTATCAGTCTAAAACATCTGCGAGGGTACCTCAGCATCAGACAGTGATGGTGATAATTATGGCATTATTAGAATGTTGCTGGATTCTGTTTTCAGCACACTATACATAATTACATATGACTGAAAGCCAGAATAGTGAAAAAATAAGAGATGGCCATTGCTAGGAAATGGCAAAGTAAACACATTTCCAACTGTCAGAAGTGACGTTTTCCATACAGTCCATGCCGAGATTCAATAACATGCTATATGTGCAATACATACACTTGACAAAGGCAAAGCCTATTCATAAAGTGACAATTCTATTCAGACCAACAGATTAACAACAGATGACAGAATTACTACAAGCAGTCTGCAAGCTGCTACTGATGAAACCTGTCAATATGGAGACTTAAACTAAAGTTTCAGTTGCTTCTCACCCTAGAAACAACTCAAGGCAGAAAAGCCACTTGTGATGGATATACGAGGGTAAGTCAGAAATTATCCGCACTTTCTCCATAACACATCTTTAAGTTTGTCATGCTGCCTCCTACGCACGCACTGTTAGAGTTGGTACTACTGTGGTCATGTCATCGAAGTTTTACCTTGATCGCATAATTTTCCTTGATGCTGTGACAGTGTAAACATGGCCGCTCTGCTAGCAGTGTGCACCAATGATTAACAAAGAATAGTGATCTGATTTCTCTGTTTGGAAGGGGTGTCGGGGGCTGAAATTCATATGTGGGTTCATCACTATGAGCCAGAATCCAAAAGCCAGAGTATGGCGTGGAAACACCCGGGATTGCAAACGAAGATGAAATTCAAGACTCAATCTTTCGTGGGAAAGGTGATGCTAACCGTTTCTTGGGACTCAAAAAGGACTATACTGGAAGACTTCCTGGAAAAATGGTATACCATCAACAGTGCAAGATACAGTGATTTGCTGGCCAACAATCTGAAGCCAGCAATTCGCACCAAATGCCGAGGCCTATTGTCAAAGAAAGTGTTGTTGTTGCATGACAATGAACACTCACACAAGGATGGCCAGACCGTTGAAACCATTAACCATCTGTGTTTCGGGGTGCTGGAACACCCTGGCTACAGCCCAGATATCGCCCTTTCCGACTCTCATCTCTTTGGACCACTCCAAGATGTTTCACGAGGTTTTTTGATTTTCTACGGACAAAGAAGTGGGGGAAGCAGTGCATAAATGGTTACGCGGCCAACCAAAAACCTTCTTCGTGGAGGGAATATGCAAGCTTTTGGACCACTGGACCAAGTGCATCGAAAAGGGAGGAGACTATGTAGAAAAGTGAAGTACTTGTTCAACCCCTACTTTTCTATATATGGATTGGAAAAACAAGAGTGTGGATAATTTTTTACTTACCTACGTAGTAAATATGCAAAAGACACGGCCATAACAAGATAACATTTACACAGCATAAGAAACTAAGTACATGGATGGCTAAGTGCATTCTTTGAAAAGTTTGTAGTTTCTTAGTTGGTAAAAAAATAATTTTATAGACAATGAAGGTTCAACAATGTTTTCAAAAACCTGCACTGGACCACATCATAAATTTTTATAATTCATTCACCTTCACACTGTTTCCTAATTTCATGCCTAAGTCTCACATGTAACCTGCTCTTCAATTTTCATATTTAATTTTTCCCATAGGCTACATGCCTCACTTATATCACTGTCCTCGATCAAATAACCCAGACAACATTAGGGAAAGAGTATAAATTATGAAGTTCTACATTATATAATTTCCTCATTCTACTAATGCCCCTTTCTTAGGTCTAAATATTTTCCTTAGATCTTGGTTCTCCTTATGGTCTGCACCTTCAAAACACAGTAACTATCAGTGTATGTACTTCCCCTAAAAGTGAGATACCTAGATTCAGTCATAAAAAACGTGAAAATCTCAATTCACCCTGAAGACGTAGACAGCATGTTCCTTTGAAACGCTGATATCCATCTACAACTACAGCGTCATAAACCAGAAAATCACAATCAAAACAAATATCACCACAAAAATCTAAGAATTTGTATGTTCCTTTCTTATAAAATATAACATCACAAGAATGCAGACATGGACCAAAAAATTTAAAACGTGAAAGATTTCCCCACAAATCCTGGCTTAAAAACATAAATGCACCATTATACTATTCAAGGTTTACACAGAAAGGAGGAGTTAACAAACATGCAGGTAACAAAGTTATAAACCATAAATCATTCTTATCTCATTATGAAATAACAGAAGAGAAGAAAAATGAAAGAAAAATATACGCTTTGTTTTGGAAAACTTATACACTGCAAACTGACAATCCTCAAAAACAGATAAATCTACAGTGATACTATAGCAGAGCTAAGCAATTAAGGAATTTATGCAGAAATGATAGTCAAATTTCAACAAAATTAGGGGCAACGATAAAAACTGAATAATAGCCACATATATGTCTTGAAACTGCATTTACAGACAGTAAAAAGACAGGATATTTACATTCTGTACTAAAATGTGTGATATGGTTTGTGAAGTTAATGACAACAAATGGCCATTTTCTCCTTTGTTTAGAAGCTACACTACTTTTGCACCAAAACCTTCAATTATAACATTAACTACTGAAATTATTTGACCTTTTGTATGTCATGCCAACCATCATGTTCGAAAACACTGTTCTGGCTTCAGTAGGTCAATTATTAAGCATTTCAGTGCTCAAAACCACACATTCATTTTGTACAAGTATTTTGTGCTGTTCACACCAAACCTGCAAATATTTGTTTTCAGGCATAAGCTTTTATACATAGGTAAGTCAATAAGTAAGTTACAAATGGATATAGAACATAAACAAATAAGAGTACTGATTTGAAAAATACTTTTATTTCTCAATATAATCTCCCTGTACATCGAGGCACTTGTCCCATCGTTTCACAAGCCCCTGAATACCAGCAGCATAAAATTCTTTTGGCTTCTGTCCGAACCAGGCAGTGACTTCCCTTACTACAGCTGCATCCTCGGGAAAATGTTCAGCCAAAAGATGGTGTTTAAGAGGGCCGAACAAATGGAAGTCGCTTGGAGCAAAGTCGGGGCTATATGGAGGATGCTCGAGGACTTCACACTTGAAATTTTGCAGCATCTCATTTGTCTTATTGGCAGCACGGGGACATGTGTTGCCATGCAAGAGCAACATGCCTTTGGTGAGGAGTCCTGGTCGCTTCTGTTGAATGGCCTTACAAAGTTTCCTGAGGATGTTACAGTAGGAGTCGGCATTTACGGTTTGTCCTTGAGGTTAGAATGCAGTGAGCAGTATGCCTTCATGATCCCAGAAGACTGTAAGCATCACTTTCCTGGAGGATGGTGTCACCTTAAATTTTTTTTAGCAGGTGACACAGGATGTTTCCACTGCACTGACACACGCTTTGTCTCGGGCTGGTAATGGTGAACCCAAGTCTCATCACCTGTGACAATTCGGGATAGCATATCGTGTCCTTCATTGTGGTAGCAATTGAGATGCTGTAATGCCAGACCCAT